AGAAAAGGAATACCTGTTCAGTCAACCAAACCCTAGAAACCACTGAAATTCAACATGTAAGTTCAGAAAGCATTTAATGATCACCTACTGTGACCTGGACACAGTTCTAGGTAATAAGGACAGTGTTGACCAAGATAAAGGCYCCCAGTTTAGTGGGACAAATTTTAACCAATTCATTAGATGAATAGTTAACTAATTATCATAGGTGCCCAAAGGAGAATGGAAACCAACTTTGCCTAGTAGCTAGGCAAGGCTTAACAACTGCACTAAATCTAAGAGATAGAGAAGAAGAAAACCCTCGGCAAAGGAGAGAGCCTCTGTGAGGAGCAATAAAGCTCACTGATGCAGGTTTATAGCAGTTGGGACAAACAAGCTCAAACAGAGAAACAACTGAGAATGTAAAGTGGCATTACAGGAAGTTAGAGAGGTAGGCAGAAATCAGCAGGGCCTTGAAAGTTAGTGGAGATTTTATAATTAAGAGAACTAATGCACATTATACTGGAATACTTGAAAAATATAAAATAGGACTGGGAAAATACTTCAGTGATCCAGCATTTGCCTAGCATGCTTGAGGCTGTGATTCAATCCCCAGCACCACAAAACAATAAGATATATTTTTTAAAAGCCCTATAAAATAAAAATTAAAAATATCACTTTGGCATAGTGTGAACAATGAACTGGAAGGTGGTAACATAGAAGATGTGAGAAAACCAGTTAAAAGTTCCTAGGGCAGTCTGGGTAGATACAATGTTGGCCTTAGTTGGTAGAACAGGAAGACTTCTCAGACCCTAGCAGTCAAAGGAAAGATCTGGTGATCTAGTAATTAGTCTCAGTTCTTCTCTACTTTTTACAAAAAAASTACTCTGGTTTCTTAATGGAGAACCCCCTCAAATGTATGTTCATTCCTGACATTTCTAATCATGCTTTCCCCTGCTGCAGAATGCCAAGGATCCCTTCCCCACTCAAAATCTTACTCATCTTTCCTGGTTCAATTAAAATTCCATTGCCTTAATCAAGCTTTCCTCAGCTTCTGCAGACTACACTGAACTATCCCTTACCACTAACTTTATCATGCAATTTAGCACAGATCATATGTTTCCCTTTATTTCATCCAATTTACCATGACTGTGTTTCTTCAAATTAATCATTAGACTCTCAAGAGCAGGGGCAAGCCTTTTGCTTTTCTATTATTCCCATTTCCTAAAGCCAAGTTTAGAGCCCAACTGTAGAAGTACCCATCATATACCAGGAGACTGAGTAAAAAGGCAGAATATGCCGGGAACTGGTATTTCTCTGGAACACACACAACACAATTGGGGGATAAGGGAAGACTGATGTTATTGTTGTCATCTAGAGTACTTTTGTTTGGCTTGTGCAAAACATCAGGATGAAGAAGCAAGGAACTATACTAGTCAGTTCTGCAGTCCATTTTTTTTTTTTTCAAAGGACAGTCTTGGGCCTTGTGTCTTAGCCACTGGTAGCTGGCAAATGACATATACTGGCTTACCACACTGGAAGGTAGCAATTGGAGAAAAGATGATCCACTCTGTACAACATTACACAAAATGAGACTTAGAAGCAGAGGTAGCAAATATGTGGCAACCCATGAGCAAAATAGCATCTGTCCCCCCTCCCCAAGTTTTCTTGAGGTTTCACAAGTAAAATATTGTATTTATTTAAGGTAAACAATGTAATGACTTGATATACATATATACTGTGAAATGTATATATACACATATATGTGTGTATATATATACAAATATATATATATGTGTGTGTGTGTATATATATATATATACTGTGAAATTCATAAAATCTGCACATAAGTTAATCTACATGTCAAATATTTATTGAAAACATACAAAAGTGCTAGGCCTTGAGGGTTACATGAAGATAATAAGGTCTGTTAAATACGAAAATAATCCCACTGCATTCCAGTAGAGCTTTCATGTATCCATGACCTTTCCTTCAGTAAGCCTTCACTTTTTATGTCCTGAAGGTAAGTCTGTGTCTCCTCTTGTTTGAGGGACACAGAGGTCACTAAGAGGCTATTTTCAGGCTGGAGTTGTGGCTAAGTGGTAGAGTGCCTGCCTAGCATGTGTGAGGCACTGGGTTTGATTCTCAGCACCACATACAAGCAAATAAATAAAGGTCCATCAATAACTAATAAAAATGTTTTTTTTTAAAAAACAGGCTATTTTCAATTTCTTAGAGAGTTTGTTTGTTCCCCTTCTCTGTACTAGTAAGAAAGCCCTGAGGGCATGAGTAGATCTCAGGCCACAAACTCTTCACTTCTATATCTAATGACCGTAAAAGCCATCTCACATAGCTCATGCATTCCTTCTTTTCAAGGTGACTAAAAGTTCTAAATTGATGGAAAAATTACTCTAAGAAACCATGTTGTCTTCCAATTATCATATCGGTACAAGGTTGATAGATTTAAATCTAACTGCCTGAAGCCATAGGGGCAGTTAATAGTGCCCCTATGAAAATCATCTCAACATGAAAATCATCTCCAGTGACCTTATAACTTATAGTAGCCCCTGTGAGAAACTAACATGCTTTATCACATTCATATATTTCTCTCCAAGCAAAACATTTAAGAAACTTTTATCAATATGTCCTGTGTCTCACATTCCTGGCATGTTCTCTGAGCAGTTGGACCTTGGCCAAAAAACAAAAACAGGTTCCCAAGAATTGATGGTCCCACCTTCCCAAACATTGTTTTTTATTTTGTCCAATTTTTCTATCTACTCTGAGCAGTAGATTGACTCACCAAGAGAATTCCCATTGGTCAGAGGCTTTCRGCTAGATGGGGAAGCTTTTAACCATCCAGAACCCTTCTCTTAGGTGCCAAAAGAGACCTGACTGCTTAGAAAATCCCAAATAAGGTAATTTAGRACTAGAAATGATCTTCTAAAAGAAATACAAGATTCCACAGATGYGGATGGGGGTATGGGACTGACAATACAGTCAATGTGGTTCTTGAAGTTATCTCAGTGAATCTGTTTAGGCCTAGAAAATATTTCCTGCATTAAATGGGGATACCAGGGTGTCCTGGCTCAGTCATGTCATATCATGTGTCCTTAGGGTTGATTAAACTAATCAAATCAAACTACATCCTTATTCTTCCTTATTGCCCAATCAAAGCTACACATGAATGATAAGAACTGTCCGAGAAAATAAAAGAATGCTCTTTGGTAAAGGAAGTAAAGGGCATATGRAAAGTTATGACACCTGTCCTAGAAACTCAACATGAGCTCACTCCTCTGCAGGGTGCTGCCTGGCTAAGCTGTCACATCAGAACCTCCCATAAGGAAAAGGTATCTCATAATGATACCAATGGGGTAGAACAAAGCACATTTAGGCAATACCTTAGGAAAAACCCTGGTCTCACAAATTCCAAAGTAAAATCCCACACAGTGTTTAAAAATGCATGAAATGAATGCGTAAACTTGTCAAAAGGGTTTAGTGGAACTAACAGTTGTCACATTTAACACACTTATACTCCTTTAAAAGAGCTTCTATCAGGCTRAGAAGGTAGCTCATAAAGCACATGCTTAGCATGAGCAACGCCCTGGGTTCAAACCTCAGCACCAAAAAATTGCCTGTCCAGATGGACAGGATCTGGGGCTGCGCTGTGACAGAGTRAGAGTGCTTGCTTAGGATGTGTGAGGCACTGGGTTCGATCCTCAGCACCACATAAAAATAAAGGAATGCTATCTAAAAAAAGAGAGAAAGAGGAAGAATCAACATGAAAATCATCTCCAGTGACCTTAKAACTTATAGTAACCCCTGTGAGAAACTAGCATATAGAATATTATTATTCTCAGTCACAAAATTCTATAAACTGTATTTTATAACAAGCAAACTTCACTTAAGGATACTCAGAGATTAAACAGACTCACAACATATATTAAAGGTACAGCTGTAGATAATCTGAGAACTGAAAAAACTATCCTTGTTCTTAGAGAACCGAAACAAAAGCTTATGAGAAACAACTGGAGACATAGAAATCTTATTTGAATCTGCTGTTAAAAAGTGTTAACACACCAACAACTCCTGCCATCACTGTGGCTGAATTTGCCTGACAGCAGCTTTATGGCAAGGCACTGTGCATTGGCAAACTATTTCCCACTCCATGAGTGAGTGCAAGTGAAAGAACGGACTTCAGTAAGGTCCACAGAACAGGGGAAGCAAGAAAAAGAACAGTCTGCTTTGGAATTCTATGAGATGGAACTACCACACTGCTCTCCCTCAGGACATTATAAAATATTTGGTTTCCTATGTTTTTTTTAATAAAATAGCTGCTTGCTTAGCATTTACTGAATTTTTTGCCAATTATAAAAACAAAATAAAAATACAGATGTAAATAAGGTTTAAAACAGTCCCCCTAATAATTAAAAGATATATTCTGTATATATTCTCTACTATTTCCCTAATATCAAGAAAAAAATCTACTTTTAATAAGTCTGACACAGTAATATTGGTTTGGCTATTGCCACAGGGGTGGACACTAATGACAAGATCTGAGATGTAGATTATTGTTCTTATATCACAGGTGAATGAAAAAATCTCCAGACAGAAGCAACTGGCTCTGAACTGTCCATATGGGCACAGTGATCTATGTGGCACTTAAACACTCAATGAAAAGGCATTTCAGGGCTGGGGTTGTGGCTCAGAGTTAGAATGCTCACCTAGCATGCATGAGACACTGGGTTCGATCCTCAGCACCACATTAAAAAAATAAAATAAGATAGAATAAAGATATTGTGTCCACCTATAACTAAAAAATATTTTTTAAAAGGCATTTCAGCTAGTTCAAAAGTACATTGCCCAATGTGGAAGAATGACAGTATTCAAGTTAAGTGGAACTGTTACAACAATCAAAAGCTATAAATCATTCTATACACCACAGTTGTACTTTGAGCTGTGAAATAATGTTTACTCATAAAGTTCAATGAATTTCCAAGTCCTTTTCATTGTTATTACAGCCTTACCTGCAAGCAGGTGAACAGAGGTGAAGCTCTTCTCCAGTTTACCCAGAAGTACAGTGAGAAAGCAGTCTGATGATAGAGAAGCAACATCTTGGGAACTCTGATCATAAACTACCACCTTCTGACTGCAATCAATGTCAACCTGAAATGCAAACAGAAGGCTTGTTAGGAAAGAAGGCTAGAAAAACAATCTCATAAACCCCTGGCAGAATAGGATCTCACATTTACTGGTGCTGAATCGAATAAATGATTCTGTTTTCAATTAATAATTTTTTWAAAATGAGATGCAGTCAATATATTAAATAAAGTTAGGACACAAATGATTTAAATGTTTGTAAAAATCAACTTTTAAAAAAATTATTTATTTCTTAGTTGGACACAATACATTTATTTAATTTATTTATTTATTTAATGTGGTGCTGAGGATCGAACCCAGAGCCTCACACGTGCTAGGTGAGCACTCTGCCACTGAGCCACAATCCCAGCCCCCCAAAAATCAACTTTTAAAAGGCAAAAAATTGATGCTATTTTTGTGTAGATGTGCCCAAAACTCCTTGGTTTTAAATCCTTGACACTATAAAATAGTAAAGTTAAAAAAACAAATAATATGCAAAATAAAAAATAGTAACCCTTGACCTAAAGAAATATTTTTAAATCGTTCCTACATCACAACCATGAAATCAGCTGTTTGTTAAAATTAAAAGCTAAGCTCATTTTTAATCCTGAAGAAAASAAATAGCCTTCCCTATCACATTGATGCCATTTCAGTATTTCAGGAATAACTTCCCCAAACATAATACCCCTAAGTCTTGACCAATATCACAAGTAAATGTTATCAAATATAAAAAAGCACCTCTAATAATTAGTTCCTACTTTTTTCTAAAGCACTTGAAAATAACTTACTTTTCAATGAATCTTTAGTCAGTACAAAAATGTTTAAATTGAGAAAACAATTTCAGCAAGCATTAATAGGGAAACATAACACCTGTCCAAATTAGAGAAAGTTAACTCGTCTGTGTAGTTTAAATATTCTTAAATTTAACAATTCAACTGCAAATTATTCAACCAAACTTCTTTAAATTACTTTCTCCACTTAAAAAGAAGCTTCAATTAACAATTATTCCCCAGTAGTGTGTCCATTTATTTTAAAAAGGCAAAAAAAGAAAGTCTTTACCTTATGTTTCGCTGAATGCTGGATAAGTTCTGTAATTAACACTTTGTCCTGTTGCAACCTTCGCTTCATAAGCTTGGAGCAGTTGATATTAATGGCTTCCAAAATGTGGGATGTATTGTATTCTACAAATGGCCGGCTATCAATTAGCAGCACTTTTTCCGTTCCACTTTCCAGCAGAGCCACCAACCTCTCAGTAACAATTTGAGTTCCAATCATCTCATGGGCCATGACAACAATAAGTCTTCTTTTTCCACCTCCTTCTTTAATTTGCCACGATGATGTAATGGTGGTGTGCTCAAAGGCTCAGCCACTCCATTGTACTAAAAATGTATGAGGTCAGGCTGGTGGTGACTGGCAAAAGGAGAGTTAAACCCATTTTCAGCAAGAGCCCTCCAACTGAATGTCTCTTTCTCTTTCCCGTTGATGTGCTCTTGCAAAGGACTCCTTCCACAAAGCAGCCCCTCACATTTGATTCATCGAGAGATGACTGGAATAACCATTCCACAACAAAAGATGCTTTGGGGCAGCCAGTGCATTACATCATTCTTTACCTTTGCTCCCTCRCTCCAACAGCTTTACACTGGACTGACAGCCTACACGAAGGAAGGAAGAAAGAAAACAAAACGTGGAGTCAGGAAAAAAAGAAAAAAAAACATCAGAGTAGAGAGGGTATATGATTCATAATACTTACTCCATTAATCTAAATCCATCATTAGTGTGCTATTTTATTTGAACAAAAAAAATAGGTATGGTTTTGAGAAAAAAATATGCTAATGATAATTCAACTTTACCTCAAAATGTAAAAACTTCAAGAAAACATGAATATTCATGAATTGGAATCACCTGGACACCAGAAATAAATGATTTGTATAAAATTAAAGAATTATAAAGAACAGCTTGAAGTATTATTAGTTCAACTGGATTTCTTCCATTTTATTTATCTATTTCTTGAAAAGAGCACTTACAACAGCCTAGGACCAAGTTAGCAATTCCATATTATCAAGACAAAAAAATCTTTTCTGATAACTTAAGAATTACTGTGATGAGTGGTGGTAGTGTGGGGGGGGGGGGGTATGCTTGTGCACAAACTACAGGCTGCAAAAAGCAACCCCTAGAGAAGAGGGAGGAAAATAGGAAGTTGCATAATTGTATTTCAGCTACCTTTTAAGGAAGAAGGACAAAAACACTGAAATGCTTGTTATAGCAACTGTGGAACTAACTGCTGGGGACTTGTGATACACCCAGCTCCACTGGAGGCAGTCTCGAAGCTATGATCCTGGTCTATCTCTTTCCTGTGAGYTTAACTAGACACCCAGAGTTCCTTGATCTGTGGTAAGCTTACCCTTCACCTTCTTGTGCCTCATCCAAGAGAATCAATGACTTCCAGCCTTAGAAAATTTTATTCATTAACCAGGTACTCTAAGTCAGCTACCCAAACAAATAGAACCTTTAAAGATGGACCCAGTGCCTCCCCTGTTCTTACCAAATGCCTGTAGTCAATCATTTCCTGATTAACATTTATTGGAGTTTGGTGCCCATGATTTGGACCTGACCCTGACCTTCAATATTCTCTGATTCCTATTTCCCTTGATCCATCTCTGCTTATAAGAAATCATCTGCCACATTAAACTGTGTCTACTGCTGACATTCAACCAACATTCAACCATTATCCAATCAAAGGATAAACTAATTGATGGCAAAGATTTGGTATTACATTTCTTATTTCCACTGTGCTATAAATCTAAGGTGATCCATTTATGAATTACAATAAAACCCTCCTTGTTCCAAAAACAATTTAAGACTCTAAATAAATATCTGATTARCTGACTTCAGATCAGGATGATAGAGTCTTCAAACTTCTTTGGGTCATATTTTCTTATTTTATACTTATAAATTTGAGAAGTGGCCTTGACATTTACTGGTTATGCAACTTTGAACAAATAATATAACCTATCTAAACCATTTTCCTCACCTACAAAATACAGATGTAATAGTGGCTTTGTTTCCTCACACACACAAAAAAAATTGTTCTGAGGACAAAATTATCTAATTTATTTAAAATTTATAGGTAAAAAAACAACTACACATCAAATAGAGAAGGGAGGGGAAAATGTTCYAAATGCACTAGTGAACAAAGCTGGCTTACATCTGGAATTTTAAAAAGGTATCACACCGCAAATAAAACCAGAAATAATTTTACCCTGCTACASTGCAGCTGCAACCTCTCTCACAGAGTCTGACACATGGGAGTTGAAGGCACCTGAGAAATCTTCTTATACACTCATTTTACAAATCAGCTGTATTTAATATATTATGTGTCCATGTCTTGTCTTCCAGGAAACAAATTTCATTACACTAATGAATTTAGTTTTAGTATAGCTTTATATCAATGAGGTACATAGTCATCTCTAATCTCAAGGGAAAAAACTAGAGCAGAGAATTTGATAATTAAGCCCTAGCCAATCAACTAATAAACTTTCACAAAGCACCTACCAAGCATCTGTCAAATCCTGACTGCTCGGTGACACCATTCACTGCAAAGTAAGGTCCTATACTCAGATTGTCTGACTCCCAAATCAGGACTTCTGCTACTGGGTTACCCAGTTTTTCCCTAAGTGCCTGATCCCATAATGGAACTGGACTGGGAAAGAATAACTTGACTTGTCCACAAGGGTGCCTGGGTGGCACAGAAAGTAGAAATCTGAGAACAAGAGCAAGTTGATTCCAACAATGGCACTGAGTCTCTGGGTCTGATTGGCTCCTCTCGATGATAAAATCCGGATGGAACAAAGCAGTGATCTGGGTTAGCGGATCAAGGAACAAAAGGAGAGAAAAACAGAAAACATGCAAAAGTTGGATTGGGAAACTATCATCATTGCTCCCTTCTGCAGGCAGATATGCAGAGCAGAAAATGATCATTCCTCCCCAGACAATCAGGCAGCAGTGACAGACACAAATTGACTCTAAGATGAGGACATAACTGAAGCAAAGGATTCAAAGTGAAGTGAGAATTAAGTTACATGCTTTCAAGTGTTGTGCTGAGGCCAGCTGGAGCCCTCCTGGTACACCTTCATGGCCAATGTCTGATTTTCTGTAGTCCTAAATGAATTATTCGAGAGGCACAGCCTGCCAAGGGGTTGTGGAGGATGAGGTCACAATGGCCTTAACCTTGTTTATTAAGAATTCTGGTTAAGGGGCCRGGGTTGTGGCTCAGCGGTAGAGCACTCGCCTAGCACATGTGAGGCCCTGGGTCTGATCCTCAACACCACATAAAAAAATAAAAGTATTATGTYCAACTACAACTAAATAGACAAAATATACTCATCCTTGGTTACAGCTCTAAAATTTTTCTCCATTTACCTGAAGAATGTCAGTACTCCAAGATCAGAGACCTGTCTGTGACCGTTTTGTTTTCAAAATCTTTTGCACCAAGTGGGATTTAAAAGATGACAAGAAAACATWTTATAATTTGCAACATCACCAAGCAAACCTTAACCAAAATTTCTACAAGAAGTTCTTAGATTCTTAGACTGAATCATAAAGGTCCAATTACACATAACAAAATCCAGGGCAAACAGGTTTTGCATTTACTTAGCCCACTGTTAAAGCTAWAACTAATTTATTCCCATTTTTAACAGATAGTCATATGATTAGAAAAATAAAAGTCTAAAATATGTGTGTAACATGCATATGTACAGTTTGTGTCCATTATGTTAGAAATTTGTTGAAACTTCAATATATTTAAATGAAAAATGAATATATCGAGGGCTGGGGATGTGGCTCAAGCGGTAGCGCGCTCGACTGGCATGCGTGCGGCCCGGGTTCGATCCTCAGTACCACATACCAACAAAGATGTTGTGTCAGCTGAGAACTAAAAAATAAATATTAAAAATTCTCTCTCTCTCTCCTCTCTCACTCTCTCTTAATAAAAAATAAAAAATAAATTTAAAAAAATGAATATATCGAAAATGTTCCTCAAATCCTTATCCAGATCTCAATCTTGCCCTCTAAATTGTAACCACTGTTAATATTTTTTTCTGATTTCTTCCAAAGTTTTTTTAATATTTTTTTCTGATTTCTTCCAAAGTTTTTTTTTAATTAATACAGATTAAAGCAAATATATATTCTTTTCCTCTCCTCTATTCAAATGGTTACACAGCATATGCAGTTTTTGCATCTTTCACTCAACACTCCAATTTGATTTTTTTCAACATTTTATCAGAAAATGAACCAGTTTATATATCCATGGGTCTTTCATATGTGTCCTTATATCTAAAACATGTATAACAGACAATTCCCCCATACACCCTAGAATTACCTCTGTTCAATCAGCTGTTTACCAGGGTACCTAAAAGCTAAAGAGTAGTTAATAACAATGTGCTCAGAGGGTCATCAAAGTATTTTATGGCATCCTGATAAGCAAACATCATCTATAACTACTCTGACTTAAAGCTAAAATGAGATAGTATACATTCATAGGAAACTCACTCTCTCAAATGATACCCTAAAGTCAATAAGGCAATATTTATCATATTTAAGACTACTAACTTAACCAGGGCTACCCAAGAAATAATTGCAAAGTATCCCATGTTCATAAATAAAGTATTTAAAATTATTTACCCAGGGATTAAGACACAACATTTTAGTATAACAAAATGATCAAAAACAAAATCAGAGTAAAGAAATGTCATTTCATAAAAAAAATGTGGCATTTATACACAATGGAGTATTACGCAGCACTAAAAATGACAAAATCATGGAATTTGCAGGGAAATGGATGGCATTAGAGCAGATTATGCTAAGTGAAGCTAGCCAATCCCTAAAAAACAAATGCCAAATGTCTTCTTTGATATAAGGAGAGCAACTAAGAACAGAGCAGGGAGGAAGAGCAGGAGGAAAAGATTAACATTAAACAGAGACATGAGGTGGGAGGGAAAGGGAGAGAAAAGGGAAATTGCATGGAAATGGAAGGAGACCCTCATTGTTATACAAAATTACATATAAGAGGTTGTGAGGGGAAAGGGAAAAAAAAGGGAGAGAATTGAATTACAGCAGATGGGGTAGAGAGAAGATGGGAGGGGAGGGGAGGGGGGATAGTAGAGGATAGGAAAGGTAGCAGAATACAACAGACACTAATATGGCATTATGTAAAAAACGTGGATGTGTAACCAATGTGATTCTGCAATCTGTATTTGGGGTAAAAATGGGAGTTCACAACCCATTTGAATCTAATGTATGAAATATGRTATGTCAAGAGCTTTGTAATGTTTTGAACAACCAATAAAAAAATTTAAAAAAAAAGAAATGCCATTTCTGGTATATTTTACATTTGAGCAGGACACTTATGTTTTACTATATAGCATTTAACATTAATAAGTTAAAAATGGAATTTTAATTGGAATATACAATCTTTAAAGCTTTTCTGTGTTGTTATATGTAATTTATTTTATGTTTTAGGATTCTACTCAGTTACCTAAGGAAATATACCTATGACTTTGAAATGGCAGTCACTGGAGTTTTATGTATTGAAATTCACTTTATATCCAACTTTGCAAAAATACAGTCTATCGATGAAGTATACTACTGAATTAGT